ATTTCTTGACTTACATCTCTCCTTCCCAGAACAAGAACATGCCACTGTCACATATCTCATCTCTCCATCTTCGCCTTTTTTTGACGTACGCATCATTGCTTCAAATCCCATTTTTTTACCATACCGTTTGTAATACTTCACCAGACTATCAACTGAATCAAACACCATTCCAATATGAGACTCTACTTCTTCCTCTGCACATCCCATATATTCTAATTCATCACTTTCATTTTCCTGATCATTTAATAGTTTTATAATAGACAAAATTAGAATGTACTAATACAACACATCAAAAGAAACAATACATACAATAAATTTAAAATCATGTTAACGAAAAAGTTAAGGTTTTGAGCACAATTTACCTCAACATTATTGAAATGAGGCAAACTGCACTCTTTCATATTCTGTAATTTAATGCAAAACCAATACTATTGTTTGCGTTCACGAATCTGACTCATAACAATCACCAACAAATATTCTCTATCAGTTTTTTTCTATTGTAACATATATTCAATCCAAAATAGAATACAAAACTAAATAAGTGCATAAGTTAAATAAAAACCGGTTAACAACCTCAACAAATCTTCTTATCTCCCTTTCCATTGTAAAAAATTGTTTGATGAAAAATTTATAGCTTTCGTTCTTGTCACGGTAGTTGGAAAATGAGGAAGAAACGGCTGAGGAATGCAGACGCAACGTAGACACGAAGAACAGAAGGCAACGATGAAGCAGACATCGGCGATAGGTATAAAATGAAGTTTTCTTTCGCTCGAAGAATTTTGGCGCTGGTTTTTGGAGAAGCGTATTGGAGAAGCTAATGTTATTTGCAAATTACAAATATATATATATATATAAAACATTTCATTATATAATGGACGGACGTCCATTAATTATGGACGGCCATCCTTTACATAAGGGACGGCCGTCCAATCCTTATGGACGGCCGTCCAATCCTTATGGACGGTCATCCATACATAATGGACGGGCGTCCATTCCTTACTGATGCCCGTCCACACTTAAAGGACGGCCATCCACAATTTATGGATGGCCGTCCAAAGTTTTTCTTTTATTTTTTAAAACCAAAATAATGGACGGGCGGCCATTCCTTACGGACGCCAGTCCATAGTTAAAGGACGGCTGTCCAAAGTTTTTCTTTTGTTTTTAAAACCAAAATAATGGACGGAATGGACACCCGTCCACAGTTAAAGGACAGTCGTCCGTAATATATGGACAACCGTACAAAGTTTTTCTTTTAATTTTCATATTTTGGTTAAGGACGGGTGTCCCTTATTTGCGAGCGCCCATCCAAAATGAATGGACGGTCGTCCATAACGGATGAACGACCGTCCCTAAATGTTTTTTAATTTTTTAAAAAGAATTGTTAATAGATGGGCGTCCATTAAAATATGAATGCCCGTCCAATATTTAGGGACAGTCGTCCATAACCTATGAACGGTCGTCTCTAATTTATATAAAAAAAAAATTATTCCATTTTACTTATGGACGGGTGTCCTTTAAATGGGGACACCCGTCCATAGTAAATGGACCCTCGTCCATATAATATAGATGAGAGTCTATGTAAGTAAACGACCGTCCATATTTGATGGACGGCCGTTCACTATAAAAATATTTAATAACGCGTTTGGATTGCCAATGTGAGTCATGGGACACGTAGGCCGGTACACGTTTTCGGTGCAAAAATGCCGGTGTCCGTAGCGTTATTGTTCTTAATTTTACCTCAATTAACTGAAACTTATGCACCAGCAATGCTTTCGTGGCAACATGAAATGCCAGTTTGCAATACTTTAACGCAATGTTTTAAAATCCAACCCGAGGTAAAACCCGGCAAAGTTGCCGGGTCTTGGGTTGACCGGTTTGACTGGTTGACAAAAACTTTCAAAATTCAGCAAATACACCCCTAAAAATTCTTAAGTCCCTATAGGTTTGAAATTTAGCAAACACACCCCAAATACAAATCGGCTGGCAACTGGTTGGTGGCGATGACACCCCAGATGCAACCTCAATCATCCATTAAGCCTATTTCCCTTAAAATATACTCAGGATCTGGCCGAAATATGTTCGATTTCTGCCAGATATCACCGACGCCGACGTAGGCCTTCCTGGCCAGATCTCATCAACGCCGGTGTCAACAACCCTCCCCATCACCCAAAAATTACTCCCCTCTGCCTCCCGACCAAAACCCACCTCACCCCACCCCGTTAGCCTCGTCAATCGCCAGCAAAAGCTGATTGTTTCTACTGCCATTTTGTTTGATTTTCAGTCGATTTACTCACAGGTAGGGGTGGGAAAATTCGGTTAACCGAATCAGTTTTTCGGTAAAAAAAAAATTGAACTGAACCGAAAATTCGGCTTGGTTAACCGGTTTTGTCATTTATTCACCAATTTTATATTTTTTCACCTTGCTTCCCACTTGGGTCACCACTCCCACAATCTCATGCTTGTAATTTTATAGTAGAGTAATTAATATATTAAATTGGATAATGATTTTAGAAGGAAAATATGAGAAGGGATTGGTTTAGCATACCCAAGAACAACAGGATAGGATGAAAATCCATTGTCATTTTTGACCATATGATAATCAGAATGACAGATCTCATAATAAATCATTATAGCCAAATAGCCAAACTCGCTTGCTTCCTATCTAGCGCCCGAAGTGCAGGTGATCTAATACACAATATTTCAAACAACACTACACCAAATAAGAAGGGGCAGATCTAGAGTATATTGAGGGTGGGCCCCTCAAATTTAAAAAAAAAATATATTTATATGTAATTTTTTTTCTTTTTATGACAATTTCAACTAAAAACATATAATATGAATATTATATACTATTACATTTTATTTTGGCACACCCTAACAAGAATTTCTGAATCTGCTACTACAAATGAGCACACATCAGATTTTTCTATGAAAGTACTCTATCAAAAAGACAAAAAAAAAAGGTAAAAAGTGAAGAAGAAGAAATGAAGGAGAAGAAGATGAAAAAGGAAGAGAAAAGTGGCGGATGAAAAGTGAAGAAGAAGAAATGGAGGAGAAGAAGATGAAAAAGGAAGAGAAAAGTGGCGTGGACATGGTTGTCAAATCGTGTATCGTATCGTGTATCAAAAACTTAGAGTGCGTTTGTTTTGTTATTTTGGATAGGATTTTGGGAATAATATTGGGTAGTTGAATAAGGTGAGTATTACGAGGTAAATTTTAAAAATGAACAAAAAACCTCCTAGGTTTGCTAATTTAAATAAACACCCCAATATATAAATTTTTTGTAAAATGACAAAAACACCCCCACCCACCCACCCACCCACAGTGCCAGATTCCAGCCACCACCGTCAAAATCTGGCCAGAAAATGGCGTTACGACGCAGACCGGTTGGATCTGGCCAGTCATGCATCGATATGACCTTTTCCGACCAGATCCAGGCCAGATCTGGCCGTCAACGGCTGTTTTCAGTCAATGATGACTATTTCTTTGGAGATCCACTGTGGATCTGACTGGAAAAGACCAAATCGACGAATTACCGACTAGTTCCAGTCAGTTTTACGCCGTTGTGACAGATTCCGGCAACCACGGAATCTGGCAACTATGGGTGGGTGGGGGTGTTTTTGTTAATTTTCAAACTTTTTTTCTAGTGGTGTTTAATTAAATTAATAAATTTAAGGGGTTTAAAAGTAATTAAAAAAATAGATTAGTATTTCTCAAATAATAAAACAAACAAGTATTTTGGGAATAGGATTGGGAATATGGATTGGAATAACAAAACAAACGCACCCTTAATTTTTCGAATCGTGTATCGCGTATTGTATCGTAGGATACACATTTTTCAAAAAAAATTAATAAAATAATCAAAATTTTCTAAAAATTAATATCATCCTCAAAATTAATTAAAGAATTTTGTGGTATTATTGGCTTTAAATTATGGTATTACATAATCAAAATTAATCACAAAACTAATAATCTTATATCATTTTCTCTCAACTTTTCATATCATTTCCAAGATCAAGTCAATATCTATATCTTCACTTGTATTATTATTATCATGCAAATGGGCAACACATATTCCTCGTCACTTTCTTCATGCAAAGGGCAACATATATTCCTCTTCACTTTCTTCATGCAAAATGGGTAAATTTGGGCAAGTTTTAGTGAATTGGGTTGGGTGACTCGGTTCCAACTCGGAATTTTTTTTGGGCCTTTGGCCCAAGTTAATAAAGTCGTATCGATTTGTATTGATGTTTTTAAGGATACGTATCAACATATCGAAAGGTTCAGGATACACTCTCTGATACATATCGTTGGCGACCTATATTAAATTGTATCGTATAATACGTATCGGGTATCGCAGGATACTAATAACCATGGCGTGGACCCATATATACTTAGGGTTTTTTTCTCTTTAGATCGGTTTTAAAATCTGGTTTCAGTTAACCGGTTTGAAAATATCTATAAACCGAATAATCGGTTTATGGATTTTTCAAAATCATAACCGAACCGGTTTTTTGAAAAACCCAATTTTTGGTTCGGTTCGGTTCAGTTTTCGGACCTTTTTTCCCACCCCTACTCACCGAAAATCAACTCCATCACCACCATTGCATTCACCGACACTTTCTCTTCAAAAGCCCCAACATCCCAACCGTCAATTGTTCGCCGATCATCCTTCCAAATCCTAGGATTTGGGGTGAATAGGAAAAATATAAACCTGACCTATTGAAGCTTTCAGGTCCCAGTTAAACCGACTGGGCCAGACCGGGTTTTAAAACATTACTTTAACGAGAAATGTGAAAGGAAAAAATCATAAATCCTATTTAATCTTGAGTTATTCCACAGTTATATATTTTCAGAGAAGCAAATTTGGCGGCAGCCCGAAGATCACCAACTTACATAAACAAATGTACAGAGATTAATTTTGCAATGCAGAAATGTTTGCTTTTACCATATATGAGATGCAACGAAGAATTTTCATGGTGCTGAAACCTAAACATAGGTTAAGATTAAACTGGCATGTCAGTGCTCATCAAAATTAAATGAGGGATCAGATAGCAAACAAGCGAGAGCCAAGCCATTTTTTCCTTGAACATTGAAACTATGTACACAATCAAAATAAATATAATATACAGAGGATGACAGATGACTAAGGTCCAAATGTCCTGGTCTTCCAATGAGACCAATATGCCTTCTCACAATCTGATCATAGCTAAAATTTCAAGCCAAGTCATCAGAACCTTGAAAGAATAGGCATATTCTTTGCATCTATCTCCTTTATGCAGCCTAGTATCAGAATCTCCCCACAACAATCTTATTGTAATGCAACTTGCAATGGAACCTCCAAACTTGCTGCTCCATAACCAAAGGAGAAAATATTGTTTGTCATACTCATCTGGACAATAGGAAATCAACTTGGTTAGTCAACTCATTCTCAATCTTTGCATATCAGACAGTTGAACAGGAAACCAAGCTATACAAATGATGAAATTTTAAGCTGGAAGTGAATAACTTAACTATGGAAGAGAGAGTCCATAACTCCATTCATACATATTCAATCAATTAGTTTATTGCAAATCTATATGTGATCAACCCAGATTGATCATATCATCTGAGCAAATCAATCAGGTACCAAATCTTACATCTAAATTGCTCAATCAGGGAATAGGATGTTTAAAACAATATTTAAAGAAAGGTTTTGCTGATACATGTTCTATGATCACTTAACAATTTTAAGCATGTCCTCCACACCCATGGTTGATGCATCAACGAGACAAATTGGCAGACAATCCAAAATTGTTAGACATAAAGCAATCTTTCAATCAAAAAGTACCTCCTGACATTTGGAAAACAATACGGAACATGCACATCTATTACTGTGTGAACAGATTCTACTATATGTCTGTGCATGCAATGTATTTTCAAATGAGTTCAAGTTCAAACCTGTATGACCATGTGTCATTCACAAGCAATCTTAGTGTCAAAGCTGCTTAGGCAGATTGCAAATGCTTGAAATGCAGATATCGGGTATCGATAATCCATTGTAAATAAATCCTTCCCCACTTTTCCAAACTGCAGGATGATTTTCTCATGTTCTGGCCGTGCTGGTCCATTTTCAGGAGAAGCTACCAGCTGAAAGTTTTTCACTGAAGCAACTGTTACTCTTCCATGGAAATTCAAGCACCAACACTGGAGCTGCTCATGCCACCTGGGAGCCTTATTTTTTAACACCAGTGGTACCTCTTTCTGACTGGTCAAAGGTCCAGATAAGAACTTCTCCAAGCGGTTTGATTTCGACCGGAAAAATGGGATTGATGGGAAGGAATCCACATTGCTGGGAGAAAACTCTGTCTGCGTTGGGGCTACTCCTAAAGGTCCAATAGAAGAAGCAGAAATGGCATCCATATTACAGAGCATTCTCCTAGGACCCCTGATTGTCATATCATGAAAAAAATTTAAGCATTGATTAAAATGCATAAAGAAGTTCACAAAATAGCTTTTAATTTTATAAACCTGGCTAGTTTCTATACACAAATTTCATGTAGTAGTAGTTTAATTGTGTCCTTGCAGAGCAATAAGATGTAAGTAAATTAAAACCTGCATGCGTAAATATTTTTTTTTTTTTTCTTCATAAGAGGCAAATTAAAAGTTGCCTAAACTAAATGCTTACCTAGAACCTAACACATTCAATTCATATGAGATGTGAGCAACTGGATAGTTGCCATGTGGGACCCTCGGAGAAACTTGTTTCAAATTCACTAGTCTAGTGGAGCGACTTCTTGTCATCTTGGCTCCAGCGTGAGGAGGTTGCCCATCGTAAACTATAAACTTGGTTCCTAAGAAGTTTGATCTAGCCAAAAAGAAAAATATCAAAATTTGAGACCATGAAATAACCCAAAAAGCATTGGTCAAAACATATTTCAGTTATAGCACACCTCAGTTTCCCAATATAAGTGTTGCTCCCTTTTGACATATCATCAGCATGCAGAGAGATGATATAATCAGTGCAGGTGGGGCGTCTGCACTTGCGGGCAGCAAGGAGAAACTTTCCATCATCAGCTAGTGCTGCCATAGAGACAAGATGATCAAAAAGTTAAAACACACTCAGAAACAGAATAACAAGAAACAGGTTATATCATATTTATTTAATCAGCAACTGAGAAGAACGATCCAACAAAAATAGATATCCCAGGACATACCCAAATCTTGTCTTTGCCTTTTTTATTTATTTATTATTTATTTTTTAAAAGAGGTTTACCAAAAGACAGTAATTCCAACTACATATAGCTTATTACAAGCTTAAAATGTACATATTGCAGTACTTAGAGATCAATATTTCAGACATCAAATGCTCACCATTCGTTAAACTAAGGTAAAGGTGATATGTTTGGGTGGACCGGTTGCGTTTTATAAAGCACTGAAGGAGAAAATCCCTTGGTCCAGGCTGCAAAATGTAACCACACAAATTTCAAAACGCATGACAGAATATTCTACAAGCAGGAAAAACAAGCTGATCACGAAACTCAAAACTCAAAAAATCGTCAGAACAGTAGCCAATACATCACAAGTTTCATAACCCACAACCAGTTTTAAATAGTAAACCACTGATCAAGGATACCACATTGCACGTCAATTAAAGCTAAAATAAGAATAGGCATTTAACCCCCCAAAAAACAGAACTAACTACACTCTGCTAAAAGTAGAAGCTAATGATCAAGTGGACATACATGATAAAGCTAAAAGTGGTCTGCTTGCACTGCTGTCAAATAGAAGCTTACCATAAAGTTTCTACATCAAGCTCAGAATGATTGATATATTGTCGGAATCTAAAGCATAGTCCCAAGTTAATCTTAGTAAATCACCACTAAGTTTCACAATTGAGACACGAAATGATTTAAAACTCAATTAGAACTGCCTTGAAACAAACATGGTTCCCACTTTCCACTATTTAGGTAGGCACATATGTTAAAAAACACCAATATAAAGAAATTCGAAGCAATTTATTTGAGATATTCAACCGCCCAATTTTTATCCATCACAAATCTTAAATCCCCACCCAACCAAAAAAAATATCTGCATGAGGTATTAATTCATATAAACAGAAAAAGAAATTGAAATTCTTGTATTGCACTTTCAGCAGGTCTAAACATAGCAACAGAAAGCTTAAATATTTACCCAATTTTTTATATTTAAAAAAAAAATCATTCTTATATAAAATTAACAACCAAAAGAATACGAAACTTATTGAATTCACCAATTAAAACCCAGAAAATAAAAATAAAGCATTTGATGATAAACTAACAAAAAATAAAATAAAATAAAAACACGATAATCAAAATTATAACAATACCTGTTTAACGGAGATGGGGAAAGTCAAATAACCGGAAAGTTCAGGGACTTTAACAATCTCTTTAGTGATCTGTCTCCAACTGGTACAAACTCCGGCACACGCGACCACACTCCTCCGAGGAGGCCACGCGCTCTCCGACGCCTCAATCTTAAGGAGAATCTCTCTGAGGAGCTCCTGTGGCAGGTTGGCCCAGCAGCAGGAACTGGAACCGCCACCACCGTCGGGGTCGTCGTCGACGCCGTCCCTGACGACGCTGTGCGACCGCGGCCACATAACTTCTTGAATTATATTCTTAATTATCATGCACGTCACAGAATAAAGTTGTCTTTTTTATTTATTATTTATCTTTTTTCTTTTGGGTTGAGAGAAGAGAGAAAGGTTTGCTGTTGGTGGGTGGCTGGCTGGTGGTTGTTTTTGTGTAAGTGAAGAGTGAGGAGCGAACAGAGAGTTTTATTTATTTTCTGTATTTTCCTTTTTTGGAATTTTTTTATTTATGGACTTTTTCTGTTGATTTTATTTTTTATTTTTTTATTTTTATGAATAATCTAAAAATTAAATATTGTTTGTGATGACTTGGATAATATCTAACCCTTAGCAGTCAATATGTCCTCATCGACAAAGCTGCAAAATATCTTCCCCTCTTTTTTGTCAATTGTATTTAAAAAAAAAAAATTCTATAAGTGGAATAATTAATTAATGAGATAAATTCAATGAATCACAAAAATATTAGTGTATAGAGTTTAGATGAAAATCCAATAGCATTTAATTGATAATAAAAATATAGGTTTTGCATTTATGTGCTTAGTCATTATCAGTAGCAATAATACCTAACACCCTTCGCCTCAATAAATTAAATCCCTTTAAATAACTTGAATTATAAGCTTTTTTTTTTTATAAATAAAAAATAAATAATTTATAATAAAACGGTTGGTAGGTTAAGTAAGTACAAATCAATGACTACTAAATGGTTCAACCCAATTAAGTTATTAATAAGAATGATCATCCAAAGATTTACTCTACCCTCAATTTAAAAACTCCAAAATATTAATTATAAATTAACTTAAACACCTTGTTAAAAAAAGAAAAAGAAAAAAAGAAAGGTAAATATACATCCTAACATGATAACTCAGTCCTTGTCCTCGGCGTTTGGTTCGACGGAGAAAGTGGGCCCCACTTAACTTCAATAATGTTAATTAGTTAATTAATAGTACCCTTATCTTAAAAGGTTTTCCCATGAATTATGAATCTCAGAGTCTCAGTCCATAGGCTGAGACCTCGAAGATCCTCCCTTAACCGGATCCTTAGTTTACGGTACATAATCTATCTCTCAGCTTCTTTTGTCTGTTTAACATGTTTTAATTATTTTAATACATAGTTTTTAATGGGAGCGTTGAAGAATGGTGACATTTTTCTACAGAAATTCATTGCGTTAAACATTCACCATTATTTACACGATTCAAATTAATTCAACGAGTTTACCAACACTAATTTCTTATACTCATCATTGCCACAATTACATTCCTAATTTAATTCTAGTTCAATTAGGTTTTTCTGTTTTCATATAAATGTATGAATTTTATATAAGATAAAAATATAATGAAACTAAGCAGAGAAAAATAAACTCCTCCGAATAGTCACTTCAACTCTTACTTCACCTGTAATTTTAAAGAAAACAGAAAAAATAAAACAGCACCAATCACTAAGTTTCATCTTATTATTTTTTTATATAATAAGATGAAAATCATTCTTCAGATCAATGAATGAAACAGGGAACAGATTTATGTGATATTCATATAGTGCTAAGACTGATAATATTATACAAGAAGAGAAGAAGTGCCACTTAAAAGACAAACCTAGGATTCTTGCTCGCTTTCTCGATGTGGGCCTGGAATGAGGAACTGACATTTCTTTAGTGTTTTACATCCAATGTGAGTTAGAAAAAGAAGGATATTTTGTGAGATATGGAATCATTGATAATAGTGCCTACTGACTAGTAGTAGATAGAGACGAGCAGAGTATGTGTAATTGTGAACGTCTGGCTCTTTCACAACTGTCTAAGACGCACACCCATTATTATTCATCACATGAACAATATGCTTAATTCATCTTCATTAATAACAAAAGCCGCCTCTAAAAGTGGGTCTATGCCCTCCCTCCGCCTCCATCCATCTTACCATTACTCTTATTCTATTGCTTTAAATGATTGTGTTAAAAAATAAAAAAGGAAATCTAGACATTGCACTAGTTCTACTTCCACCACTCTGCAGCACATCCTCTCACGATGTGCCCTGATTGAGAACTAACCTAACAATTTCTAAAGTCCCAACAAGAAGACATGTCCTCAGTTGACGGGGTCCATCCTTTTACTCAAAAATCTTCAAGGTGCTATCCAATTAAGTGAAGCCACCACATAAAGGGTAGCAGATTTTGTATTTTTTTTTTTTTCAAACAAAAATACACCATTTTCTGCATTTAATGATATAATGGGCCGGAAATTCAACAAAAACATTTAGTGCAAAGAAAGAGGATGTCAAAGTCTACTGAGTCCATGCCACTTCTAATTACATAATTGGCAATTAGCTGGTGGCAACTTACCGGGTCATGTCCTCTGAAACTCATACTTGATTTCTCCTTGAATTGGAGCACCAAGTCCCACTCTCACCAAACCCTTCAATGCCCACAAGTTGCGCATTCCAAAATATCATTTATAATCAATTGTAAGCTCTGGAACCATTTTTTTTTTTTTTTTTTTTCAAATTACAGGCAATTCTGCAGACTGTAGACGTTATCAGCAACTTACTGTAGTGACCCAATTAAACTGCACCCTTACCCACACAAACAGAAGAAAGGAAACATATATGTAGAACATAAACCTGTGCAATACCTTACTAATTCTAAACCACAACTAAAACCATCATCTACCCTACTTACTAAAAATTCCAAAATTGATGGCAGTGTAGATAATAAAATCTAAAATTGAATGCAATCTAATTGTCCCAACACTCTCAAAGTGTCTGGATTTTCTAATTCAAGAACAACCACAAAACTACTATATGATTAAAAGATACTTTTCTTTATTTCCCTTGAATATAAACAGATGAAAGATGTCGAGTATAACGTAGAAAATAAGCATAAACATTTGTAATGATTTGCTTTCTTGATTTCAAAAATGGATCCTAATCTCATATATTGGGCTACTTACACCTTTGCCAAGCAAAAAATATCCTACCAGGACTTCTATACAACAGGTACACTACCATTAGGTTGCTGCATGTTTCCCAGCAATTTTCCTACAAAATCAGAGACAAAACGCATATGCATCACTTATTTCACTTCTTCAGAAACTTTAAACCAATAACTTAAAGGCAAGGAAACAAGATAAAAAGGAATAAATACTGCAATATATCACTGGGATTCATCATTTGTTTTACTCAATATTATTNAATAAACTCCTCCGAATAGTCACTTCAACTCTTACTTCACCTGTAATTTTAAAGAAAACAGAAAAAATAAAACAGCACCAATCACTAAGTTTCATCTTATTATTTTTTTATATAATAAGATGAAAATCATTCTTCAGATCAATGAATGAAACAGGGAACAGATTTATGTGATATTCATATAGTGCTAAGACTGATAATATTATACAAGAAGAGAAGAAGTGCCACTTAAAAGACAAACCTAGGATTCTTGCTCGCTTTCTCGATGTGGGCCTGGAATGAGGAACTGACATTTCTTTAGTGTTTTACATCCAATGTGAGTTAGAAAAAGAAGGATATTTTGTGAGATATGGAATCATTGATAATAGTGCCTACTGACTAGTAGTAGATAGAGACGAGCAGAGTATGTGTAATTGTGAACGTCTGGCTCTTTCACAACTGTCTAAGACGCACACCCATTATTATTCATCACATGAACAATATGCTTAATTCATCTTCATTAATAACAAAAGCCGCCTCTAAAAGTGGGTCTATGCCCTCCCTCCGCCTCCATCCATCTTACCATTACTCTTATTCTATTGCTTTAAATGATTGTGTTAAAAAATAAAAAAGGAAATCTAGACATTGCACTAGTTCTACTTCCACCACTCTGCAGCACATCCTCTCACGATGTGCCCTGATTGAGAACTAACCTAACAATTTCTAAAGTCCCAACAAGAAGACATGTCCTCAGTTGACGGGGTCCATCCTTTTACTCAAAAATCTTCAAGGTGCTATCCAATTAAGTGAAGCCACCACATAAAGGGTAGCAGATTTTGTATTTTTTTTTTTTTCAAACAAAAATACACCATTTTCTGCATTTAATGATATAATGGGCCGGAAATTCAACAAAAACATTTAGTGCAAAGAAAGAGGATGTCAAAGTCTACTGAGTCCATGCCACTTCTAATTACATAATTGGCAATTAGCTGGTGGCAACTTACCGGGTCATGTCCTCTGAAACTCATACTTGATTTCTCCTTGAATTGGAGCACCAAGTCCCACTCTCACCAAACCCTTCAATGCCCACAAGTTGCGCATTCCAAAATATCATTTATAATCAATTGTAAGCTCTGGAACCATTTTTTTTTTTTTTTTTTTTCAAATTACAGGCAATTCTGCAGACTGTAGACGTTATCAGCAACTTACTGTAGTGACCCAATTAAACTGCACCCTTACCCACACAAACAGAAGAAAGGAAACATATATGTAGAACATAAACCTGTGCAATACCTTACTAATTCTAAACCACAACTAAAACCATCATCTACCCTACTTACTAAAAATTCCAAAATTGATGGCAGTGTAGATAATAAAATCTAAAATTGAATGCAATCTAATTGTCCCAACACTCTCAAAGTGTCTGGATTTTCTAATTCAAGAACAACCACAAAACTACTATATGATTAAAAGATACTTTTCTTTATTTCCCTTGAATATAAACAGATGAAAGATGTCGAGTATAACGTAGAAAATAAGCATAAACATTTGTAATGATTTGCTTTCTTGATTTCAAAAATGGATCCTAATCTCATATATTGGGCTACTTACACCTTTGCCAAGCAAAAAATATCCTACCAGGACTTCTATACAACAGGTACACTACCATTAGGTTGCTGCATGTTTCCCAGCAATTTTCCTACAAAATCAGAGACAAAACGCATATGCATCACTTATTTCACTTCTTCAGAAACTTTAAACCAATAACTTAAAGGCAAGGAAACAAGATAAAAAGGAATAAATACTGCAATATATCACTGGGATTCATCATTTGTTTTACTCAATATTATTGTCACTGTTGAAAGTCATACAAAAGTAGAAGATTTATTAAAATGGTAAGGTTGTAGTTAACTACACTTGTAAATACAATGCACAGTGTTCATTCAGAAAGACGGCAAGCCACTTAACTAAGTTTAAAGAGCTCATCGTAAGTAGTTCAACCCAACCGTGCACTTGAGCTTAACATTTCATTTTATTAGCTTAGAATTAATCCAAGTGCAAACAACTCAAATTTAAAATAATATATATGTATTAACTAATCGATAGACGAGCATAGTTGCATTGATATTCAGTGACATCATGTAAAAACCATGTTGCGGTTGAAGTTCGATTTTATTTAGCTTATGACCTCCCCAAATTTGGACAAAAATAAAACATATTAGTAGACTACCTGAGTTGCCTGCAAAAGGATAAGCCTTCGAGAGATATTTACTTCTTGCCAACCCAACAGAAGTGTTCTGAGACCTTATAACATTATCAACTTGAAACTGATTGGAGAAGTTGGTGGCTGGCAGGCATCCTCCTGACTTACCCAATAATACTTCTGAATTTTGTGCAAGAATTTGATCAGGTGTCTGCACAGAGGACTCCAGCTGATTTCAAGGAAACAAGCAGCAGTAAGCCATTCAGTCATCAAAAATTAATTCATGTAAACTAAAACACATTGAAAAGACTTGGTTGTAAGAAATATATGAGATAAACAGATACTTAAAAGAAGTGTGACCATTTAACAAAAATATGAGAGCTGATGTAGCCATCTTGTGCTGATACATTTTGTTACATCTTGCGTTGTCATAATATTGTGACACAAGAATACAGTAGTTTCATGCAAGATTGTAGTGTCTCACAAAGAACATCAGGCACAGAGCATTCTTCCCTTTTTTTTCAAAAGTTTAACAGATCAACCCGAAAGATGGCATTACTACAATAACATCACCTGGTTTATGAAGATATCAGTACTGTAGTAACAGCAGTCCAGTAAGTGCAAAAAAAAAAACCAACCAAGCCATATATATGCTAGGATCGTCTGTCAGTACTGACTTAATAATGTCTAAAAATCAGGCAAGACAAACAACCTTTTTATCCTTGTAAAAAAGTGAAGGATGTGAGAACTGATGAGAGTAGAAAAGGGGGATAAAAAATTTTAAGGTTAGGCATGAAGCTCAATAGTTACACTTCAAATTCGGTTTTCCAACATCTAAGTAATGACCATAAAAGAAAACCCTACTCCATTCCATTCATGACCGGTAAGTCTCATACAACAGCATTAATTTCACATTCAATTAAAATGCACATAATTCTTGCTGAGCGAAAACCGTGAAACCATAATGTGTCAATTTGATAAATTAAAAAAGGACTGGTCAAACCTTCTTGTTGAGCATGCCACCCACTTGTTCTTGTGAAGAGCCCCCTTGAGGTAAAGTCTGTAACGACACTATGCTTTGACACGGAGCTTGCGGGATCACCACATCTTTGCCCTGTTCCTTACTTGATGCCTCATGATAGAGATGAGTAAGTGCAGACTTAAGACGGTTGTTTCTTTGAGAGTAATAAATTTTGGTGGCAAGAGGAACTGGAAAATCTGATTTATTTCCATCGCAATAATCATTGTCCAATTTTGTGGAAAAGAGAGCATTACAAAAAAGGAAGGTTCAAGACAAGTTCCCAAAATTATCATAGATAAGAAATTGATGAAAACTTTAACTGATGGTATTCTAAGACTACCTTGCACCCGCATGCACTGCTCATGGACTTGTCCAGGGCTTTTACAAAGATTATCATCAGGCATTTCACTTCTAGGAGTTGTTTGTTTTGGAAAATCCTTACCTGAAAACAAGCTTATTATGAGCATATATGATGCCTTCAACAGTGTACTAGAGGCACCCAAAAGATTACAGTGCATCATCATAGCTGAGTGACCAAAAGCTACATGAATGAGGTTGATCATAGAAATAAAACAGTTCAAGATTCACATAAATTAGGCCATGTTTTCTCAGCAAAATTATGATATAGTTTTTTTAAATGCTTAATTATTGTACCTTTGGTAGGAAATTGGATCAGACAAGATGGACTTGTAGAAAGAAGAAAGGAAGACCTAGAGAAAGAACACCTAAGGTTCTTAGTCAATCACAACAAAAAGGGGATGTGCTCACATATAACCCATGAGCTGTTTGTTCTCAGACTTCAGTTTCAGGACCCATCAGTACAGCACTTACAAAGAATATCACAACATTGCTCCAAAGAAAATCGGTAAAAGCCTCAAATAACAGGAAAAAGAAGAACCAAGTGACTGAGAGATTATGATAATAATAAATTTGATTGAGAAAAGAAAATTTGACCATCTATCCGAATGTTACTTGAGAAAACCTTGCTGAAAAAGAAAAAGCAGAACGACTATAACAAAAGTTTGTCTGGACTTACAGGTATGAGGGTCCTGAGCATTTGTGACTTTTGTTATGCGATAAACTGATTCTGGATCACCCGCTAGTGGTAGGTGCTCGTCTGCTATCCTACAAGAATCAAACAAAAACAGTAAATTTTAAGGTAAAGATTTTTTTTTTTTATCATCTAATTTTTCAGAAAAATAATTATTTTGCTAGCAAAGACAACAAATTGAGTCTAGGTTCAATAGCTCCACCACCATCTAACAGAAGAATCAAGGGGATTGAAAGAAACTACTGAATTGAGGTCACAGACCTTGTTAAACGAGTAAAAAGAAAATGAAAATTCAAGACATAGGTAATAGGTTTTATTAAGCTACAGTACATTAATAAACATAGATCAGAGAGATAGTGTAGATATCAAAAGAACTGAAGGATAAGATTGAACACTATGCATAATATATGGTAAAACCAAACAGAGCCTTCTCCTGTACTTGAGATGCATATATAACTACAATTCAAATTCAAAGAAATAAGGCATACATTTTTGAGCGTTTTGCTGGAGGTGGCATCACACAGGCTGAGTGATCTATATTCTCAGGACTAACTCTTGAAGCAACCATCACAGAAGCTGTATCTACACTAGCAGAATTTCCTAAGGGAAATAGTAGAAAACAATAAATCAAGCTAAATTCAAATGCAAGTATATGACTTTCTTCAAATGAACACTTGTCTCTGATGGATTCCCATGTATGTCAGCAAAAATCAAGAAAAAGAAAATGAAAAGGAAAAGGAAATAGGGGAAAAAGAAAAGAAGATGATAATTCAACTAAACTCAACAAAGCCGCAGTCCAAACTATTTGGCTTTACAACATGATGAGTACAATTAAGTGGGAAAATAAAACCAATCATGTTTAAAGAAAAAACTTGGATGTTAACAACTTCAAAGAACATAAAGATTATATAAACCATCTAGGAGAGAAGAAACTTAGTTCGATTATCCGACCCAGGAGTGAAGCTTTGGCTTCCTTTACAAGCAAAAGTGATTTTCTGTTCTTGTTTCATAAATCATAAATCTAGCTCAACCAGAAGACAGAGGAGCACATTTAGCTACCATCAAATTCTACAGGTGACAATTGCAGCCAAAAACCCCACACTGTTTCTGTTTTACTACCCCATACCCCCCCCCCCCCCCCCCCCCCCACCCCCCCCCCAAAAAAAAAAAGTCATAGAAACTTTGATGACCTAATAAAGCAGGTGTATTTGGGGAAAAGCATCGACACAGAAGGATTTTACAGAAAGAAACAGACAGAGAAAACTCCCCGAGGTCACTTCACATTGATCCATCAGGAAATCACAATGTGAATGCCTGCATGTCGACAAGAAACTTACTTTTTACATCCACGGACAAAGAAGAAGAATCATCATCTATAGACTCCGGCCTTTCTGCTCCACAACCGGTGTCGTTGGTTTAAAAGAGGTTAAGAACTCTCAAATTATCAACCAATAATTGAGTAAAAATTAATCTGTACAGAACCAAAATACAAGAACTTAATTTAATGAAATACAAAACTCAAAGATTAAGGGGGGAGACAGCAGAGAGGAGATTAGTTCTGAATGTGACGGTATCATACCAATTTTTTTAAGCTACATTAAGTTAACATATCATTTTAATATGGGAAAAAATGGTCCACAAAGGAAATTTTCTAAACAACAAGTGCAGTGTGTAAAATGGCCTATGAGTCTTGCAAGAGAAATACTTATAGGGTGAAAAAAAGAAAAAAGGATACTAGCATAAGCTGTAAGTAACTTTTTCCTCTCCTTCCTTGGAGGTTTCCTATTCCCTGTACCACTATAAACATCCAACATAGGTTCCCCTGTAGCATTTAATGACCTACAAAGTTCTGAAAAAATCAAGAAAACAAAAACAGTTCAGTGAAGCAACAGCATCATTCCACTGGAAGAGTTCTAGCATGGAACCCCAATACAAAAAATCAGTGAATCATCAAGACAATCAGAAACAGGCAAGTAATTTTCCCATCAATAAGCATATATTTTGTTAAAATCACCATCAGGATCCTAATCACCTGCATTAATTATGGATCACCAAGATTTGTGATAGTTCAGTTTACAGAGAAACAGGGAATATTAAAATGAGATAGAAATGCTTTTAATTCAGCAGATAACCAGGAGAAGGAAAGTGCATTTAGAATATAACTTAAGTCGACCTAGTAGGACAATGACCAAGAGACTCATATGAAAAATGTAAAAGAAAGCTCTTTCCCAGTTATTATATATTAGGTTAGAAACCAAGTCCTAATTGACAATTATGGAATTGATTTCCCAATTCACATGATACAGTCAATGCTGATACTAACGAGTTTGTGTTGTTAGCAGCCAAAACACTCAGGATGACGAAGGCTAAGATTATTAATGAATCACATCACTGTGATCTTGAGTCTTTCCATTAAAAAATATGAGAGAATCATTTACCATGTCTTTTATTAGCTCAGATGTGTTTCGGCAGATTATGAAACCATACCAAACTGTTCAAAAGCTTAAGAAAACATGAGCAAACCTGCATGAGCAGCATATTGACTGGCTTTTACTGGCTTCTTACAAGCATTGCAACATACCTTCATGATAATGTTAACAATTAGATAAACAAAGTGAAAGCAACATTTGGATGTAAATGCAAATGTATAGCATGAGTGGCCAAACCAAAGATTGCAATTGATCACATAAATCAATAATTTCCTGAAGGTTTAAGAAAATAAAAATAAATTAAACGAGAGATAGAGAGAGAGAGGGAGGAGGTAATGAACAAAGCAAGAAATACTCTTATGAAGAGTTTCCATATAAACTCCAGTGTGAAAATAAAAGGACTTTCTAATGCAATGTTGCCTGTGTCTCCTTTATTTACAAGCAGATGGGAACAGATATTCTGCTTCCAAGCTCAAATGTTTATATTATATCCATAAAAATAAATAAATGAATGGAAAAATTCAAGAAGACAAAACTTAGATAATTAACATGAAAACAGTAGTGAGTTATTAAAAAGGACAAATTTAAATTATGACAACACTTACCAAATGTAAAGAATCAGCCATAGGTTTCAAACCAAAGACATGCATATCTGGAAAAGTCATTTGTCAAGCAGTTAAAAGAAACCAAATGCGAGCCAAATAAAATATTTAATAAAAAATTCTCAAGAAAGCGACTACACTTCAAAGTTCTTATTTTTTTTTTTTTGTTGTTGGAAAAAGCCAACTACTTGATGTATGATACAATACAAAGGCTTAAAACAATAATAACAATGTCCCAACCCAGCAATAAAACCTTCATCTCATTTTTATTCAACACTACACTATGGATCTATACAGTACCTTATAATTTCAAAGGAGAATCTTTAATTGAATCAACCCAAAAATTAATAATTAGTCCACATATGAAGAATCTTTAATTGAATCAACCCAAAAATTAATAATTAGTCCACATATGAAGAAATCACCTTCTTCATCAAGCAAATTAGCTTCATCTGCCTGACGTAATTCTCTGTAAATGTTTTGAGCAGCTAATTTCTGATGGGTTACCTCATCTGCCAAGGACAGAGAAATGTCAATAAAAAGGTGAAGCAACCAATTCAGTGTTACTTACCCACAAAAACTTCAAATTTAATCTGCTAAAGAAGTTAAAGATAACTAGATGCTATGTCATAGAAATCCCCAAAATTTCTGACATATAACATTTTATGTTTTGTATAAATTTCATCATGATGAATTCTTAGTTATACATACATTTACAGGCAATAACCAAAAGCAAATGAAGTAGACACTCAACTGAGGAAACATAAAAGTCAGAAGTTAAAAACTATTTGTTATAGAAAAGTTAAAGCTGTAGTCTTTTTTTTTCTCTTTGTGTGCGTGTTGTGAACAAGGCTCAAGGGTGATGAGACATGTAAATCTGGTAAAAGTACATAATAAAAACAACTAATACACCATAACAAAACACAGGAACCTCAAACCCCGTTCTTTACATTCATTTGCAGTTCATCTAATGAATTTTGGTACTCTGGAAGTTCTTTCAACTTCCAACACACCATAGGTTCTACATATTGAACAAAGAAATTATTTTGTTCAATTTTGTTTATCTTTATCCCACCAGTACATTTGGACCAAATCTTTGTGTTCCTTGAACTACTAAGCGCAGAGTAGAAAGTGTAAATTAACACCCAAAACACCATTAGACCCACAGTTTCTCTTCTTTTGTTTCCATAACCACATATCATGAAGTTTCATCATAGTCTCTTAATATTTTTCTTTTAACAGAAACGGTACAAGAATTTTAATGTATAGGTAAACAGATGTTCATAGGAGCGAACAAACTAGCATAAACAAACAACAAAGAGTTCATCTTACCTGCTCTATTCGGCGAGAACCTACCCACTTCCAGAAGTCTAGCCATAACTGCCATTCTCCCACTTCCTACAGAGCATACCATTGGGACAAAAACTACCCTTGTATCTGTACCTTAAAACATCCCCGTCCAAAAAGAAAAAATCAACTCCTCTTATCACATTAATAAACTATCAGGATACCAGCCTGAACTTGATTGGCACAGCCACTAAAAACCCGCTGCTGTATACACTCAAGCTTAACTTGTAAGCCACCTACTTCGCAATTTTATTTCTCTTTTCTCAAGAAAACTTACGTAATTGCATGTAAAGAACATCGGGGTCGAAATATAACAAAAAGACAAAAAGTAAGGGTTAACAGAGGAACAATCAAGGTACATTTACGATACACAATGTAATTTCATGAAAACGCAATTCAAATCATTTCAAAAAAGGAAAATGAAAATCATTCTTCGATGTATTTAGTCAAATAACCTCGCGTAACCTAATTAATCAAAGCCCAATTCCTCCAAATCAAACAATAAAAACTCACCTTAACCTATAAATTAATATTTCTACCAGTATAATCGCGATAAAACGTCGATAAATTGAAGAATCGAAGACGATTGGTAAAAAAGGTCGGTTGATGTCTGAAATATGAGAGAATGCGAGAAGAAGAGAGACAATGGGGAAAGTGAAGACCTAAAGAGTGAGTATTTGGGTAATGGTTTAAGTTTATCTGGATGTCGTACGTTCTTCTCCTCTTCTCCTCGCAGTGGTGGTGGCAAATGGCAAAGCTAATGCTCAAAATGGAAACTTCTCTGCGGGAGTTGTCTGATTGAAATAAATGATAATAGTTAACGCGGGCCTGGGGAGATTTTGTACAGCCAATAATAATCGAGTATTTTCAATCTTTTAAGAAGTTAATGTGATTAGTAAATGAGTGGGGTGTATTTAGTATTACCCTTTTTCCGGCCCAGATGAAAAGCCCAGACTATGTCCATCCACATTTTCGGTGCCATTAGAGTGTAGTGTAGCCCTCTTCTTAATTCGAATTTTAGCTCAACTTTGGCAAAAAGTTTTTCATCTATATGGATCTAATCAAAAGCTAAATTCAAAGTTTTCTCATGCATTAATTACAATAATGTCGATTTATAAAGCATACAAAATCTATATTGATCCTGTTATATACAACGCTGGATGTAAAGTATTTATGAATTACACTTTCACAATAATATTGAACATTTCTGACAAATTTAAAATAATATAATACAGTATATACAATCTTGTCATATAGAATGAATAGATACATAATATCAATTTGATAAATACTCAAACGAGAAAAAAGATATGTCAATCAATTATTATGTTACATCAGTTTGTATACAAGAGTTTTTAAATTTAGTATGTATATGTAGCATATTAAAAATATCCCACTAATTATAAGGTAGTATTAAGTTAACATTATCTGAACGAATATCACATTATTTAAGATGCTCAAAAATTGGAGAACAAACTTTATAAACATATTATTTTTCTTCCATTATATGTCAAAATATATTATTAGATTTTGGAATATTAAATGAAGAATTCCAGAAGAACAACTCTTATTGTATTCAATAGAGTGTTCATGTTTTGTATACAATAATCATGGTTTATTCTTTTACCATAGTTATATAGTTGTAAACCAACAAACTAACTAAACCAATCTTAACAAACTTAATTGCTACAGTAACAACATGTAACCACTTCAATAACTAAACCAACTATTACCAATTAACTACTACAAACAAGCAATATGCCACCACCCCCCAAACCCCCACCGGCCCCGGCGCCGCCCCGCCCCCACCCCCCCCCCCCCCCCCCCCCCCCCCCCCCCCCCGGGGCCTCAAGTTGGTGGGTGATGAATATCAATTACTCCCAACTTGCATAAGAGATGTTGATGAAGGATACTGCTAACAGCCTTGGTGAACAAATCGGTAGGCTGCTCATGTGTAGAGATATGAGAAATCTTGATCAATCTTTCCTTGAGTTTAGTACGAACAATGTGACAATCAATATCAATATGTCTTGTACACTCATGAAACATGGGATTTGAAGCAATATGAAGGGCAAATTGATTTTCACAAAAGAGAGGAATCGGAAGCAACAATGGAAAACCAAGATTTGTAAAAAGTTGTGTGAGCCAGACAACCTCGCAAATTGTAGAAGCCATTGTTTTATACTCAGCTTCAGAGGAGGACTTAGACACAATGGCTTGCCTCTCAGATTTCCATGAAATAAGTGAATTACCCGAAAAAATACAATAACATGTAACTGACTTGCAGGTCGTAAGACATGATGCCCAATCCGATCACAAAATCCCTGCAACTGCATAGAACCATGAGCTGGAAAAAATAAACCCATACTAGGAGAAGCTTTAATGTATCTAACAATCTTTAGAGTAGCAGTGAGATGAGATTGTTTTGGATGTTGCATAAACTGACTCAAAAGGTTGACAAAGTAACTCAAATCAGGCCTAGTTAAACACAAATATAGCAACTTGCCAATAAGCCTTTGAAACACAAAAGGATCAGATAAGGCAGGATCTTCATTACCATAAAACAACTTGTCATACTCTATAGAAGTTAATTTCAAATGTTGATCCAAAGCAATAACAGTAGGCTTAGCTGCAAACAATCCTGAGGCAGTAATGAACTCAAAAGCATATTTTCTTTGGCATAAACTAATACCCTTAGAAGATCGAGCAACCTCAAAACCAAAAAATAATGCAATGAACCCAAGTCTTTGAGCTTAAAATGAGAATGCAACTGATCTTTAGTATTCTGTATCAAACAAGAATCACCTTCGGTAATGACTAAATCATCCACATATACAAGTAAAATAACAATATGTGAATGAACTTTCTTGAAAAAGAAAGAATGATCTGAGGAAGATTGTTGAAATCCACCAGATAGCAAAGCAGTAGTAAGCTTGGAATTCCAAGCCCTTGAAGCTTGTTTTAAGCCATAGACTGATTTGTGTAGTTTACACAGTAATGACTTACCACCTTGTTTAGAAAATCCTTAAGGAAGAGTTATATAAATGTCTTCTTGAAGATCACCCTGCCAAAAAGCATTATCCACATCCATGTGGTAAAAAGGAGAGAAAGTCTCTTCATAGTCAACTCCAGCTTGTTGAGTATATCTTTTGACAACTAATCTTGTCTTGTACCTCTCCAAATAATCATCTACCTTATACTTAAGCTTATAAATCTACTTACAACCGACTGGACTCTTACCAGGGGGCAGAGGAACTAAAGACCAAGTGTCATTTCTTTCTAAAGCTTTAATCTCTTGTTGCATAGCAACCACCCAATTAGGATCTCTAGATGCTTGGTTAAAAGTAGTAGGTTTAGTATGTTGAAAAAGATTCCCACAACTCAAACGCAAAATTATGGCAAGCAACAAAAAAAAGAGCACACCAAACACAAGAATTTTAAAGTAGTTTGGCCCAATCAATTTAGCGTATGTCCACTATCCACTCAAATAATCCACTAAGTAAAAGCTTACAACTATACAATTTTTAGAAGAGAAAAATTGCAAACTCCTTACACTATCCCAAAAAGCCCAATTACACCCTTAATAACAGCCTACAATGACTAACTTTTTTTTTGTCTATTTTACATTTTTTGAGATACTTTAAAAGCTCAATCTACTAGTCTATTTAAAAAGGAGAGTCCCCTTGCAACTCCTATTCCCAAGTAATATGGGATTCAAGGCACAATCCTAACATAGTAAGGGTAGAAATTTTGGACAAACAACTTTGATATGATGAGGAAAGGTGAGCATAGGAGATGTAATTCTGAATTGGATATTGAGTCAAAGAAGTAAGATTAGATTTAGGCAAGGTTGGACAGATAAAATCAATGGTCCATGTTGGTGGTTTTGATGTTCTACTGGATTTTCGAGGTGAATAATGATTTATAGGTTGCTATGAGGATTAAAGAGGTGAGGAATAAGAAGGAGATAAAGAGGAAGTTGGTTTTAATACTGGTAAAATGCATGTATCTTTAGGACAAGTAGTAAAATCGAAGAAGATGAATTGGAAAAGTCTTCCTCCATGAAGGTTTCTGATAAAAAAGTTGTTGATTAGATTGTTTCCAAGGAAAATGAAAGATAGTCTCATAGAAAATCACATCTCGAGTGACATGAATAGTTTTAAAATGTAAATCATACAAGATATAACATTTCTGTGTGGAAGAATAAATAAGGAGTGGATCTTGGAGATAGCTTGTCTTTAGGTGTCAAAGTAGTAGCATATGCCAGGGAACCAAACACCCTTAAAAAAACTTTTCATAAGGTGACATGCCATTAAGAACTTTAGTAGGTAACCTATTTATAATATAGACAACAACCTTAACAGAATACCCCCAAAAATGATTTGGAATATGAGACTGAAATTTAAATGCTCTAGCAATTTCTAGGATATGCATATGTTTCCTTTCTATCACCCCATTTTGTTGTGGCATATAGACACATGTACTTTGATGTATGATGCCTTTTTCAAGAAATAAATCATGGCATTGCTGATTAAAAAATTACAAACCATTGTCAGTCCTAATGCATTTGCGAGTCTGTTGAAACTGATTTTGGACCATGTGAAGAAAATTTTTGAAAGTTTGGAAAACATCAGACTTATAGTGCGTGAGAAATAGCCAAGTTGTCCTAGAATAGTCATCCACAATAGTACGGAAAAATCTAGCATTACCCTATGTTAGTGTCTTATATGGCCCTCATACATCTAAATGCAAAAGCTCAAAAATATGAGAAGTGACTGGAGTACTCAATGTAAAAGGTATCTTAGTTTGCTTGGCTAAGGGACAAATAGAACAATGAAGTGTGTCCATCTCTTGTAAACCACGATGCAATTTCCTCAGAACATAATAGGATATATGCCCCAACCTATTATGCCAAAGTGCTACATCACTTTTTATAGAATGTGTAGGAGATGTTGAAGAAAAACAAGTGCTTTTTAATGAAGCAACAAATACATCATTAATACCACAAGTTGGTGTACAAACACTTTTATTAATTCCCAAATCTGAAGAGTTCGAATTTATTCTTGAAAAGGGAAGAAAATAGTATAGTCCCTAGCTTTACTTACCAATCCCCTTCAACTTGTCACTCCAAAGATCATGAATGACATAAAAATCAGGATAAAAAGTAATGGAGCAATTACAAAATGAAGTCAACTTCGATAATCATAAAAGGTTATATATACTATCAGGTAAATGAAAAGCCTTTTCAAGACACAAATCATATTACTTTGTGACAGAACCAACGTGTCTAATAGGAGTTTTAGTTCCATGTGGAAGGCCTACAAATGTTGTCATGGATGAATCACTGGCAATCGGAGATTCTACATTACAAAAGTTATGGGTCATATGGTCAATAGCCCCTGAGTCTAATATCCAATTTTCACCAATTAAACAGTAATATAAGGAAACAATTTTACTTGCCAGATTTGTCGACGAAGTTGCTATATTTTCTTTGCCCAGTAATTGACTATATTGCTCAGCTGACAGAACATTCCCAAGACTGGTTCCACCTTTAATACTATCTGACGAAGACTTCGAGTTTTGTGTCTAGGATTGTTGTGATTGCACCTCATTAACTTTGGCCTTTGTTCCAAATTTACCTTTTGTGAATTGAAAATCGGCAGGGTATCCATACAATTTGTAACAATTTTCCTTCTTGTGTCTTGGCAAGTGACAATGTTCACACTCAATGTAAGGCTTCTTCCCTTTGTATTTGGAATTTTGTCCCTAGTTTCTTTGATGACTTTGTGAATA